TTTCGTTTAATCCCGTGTTCCACTTACTTAAATATAAATCAGCCCCGGGAGTTTGCACGTGTGGGGCTGGCTCCAGCTGGAAACAGGTGTGTGTCAGTGCCTGGGGGAGCCTGTGAGGAGACTATGTTGGGGGCTTGGAAGAGGCTGCGGGTCCTATTCTCTTCCCTTAGTGTAGACCAGGAGCTAAAACCCTTAAACACTCCTGCGTGGGGGGCTGGCTCTGCCTACTGTCTCCTGATACCACTCAAGTCACTTAGTCTCGCTTTTCTAAATTCTAGGACGTTCTCACTCCGTTGCAGGTTTTGTCGATCTGAGGCGGGAACTCGGGGCGTGGGCAGGAGCTGAGTGGCGGGAGGGTTAGCTGAGCCCTGAAAGGCTCTGTAGAATACCTTGCCAGCCCAAGTTAGCAGAGCCAGTGGCTAAAGACATGGGCATGTGGCCCCACACCACTCCTGGGCACATGTACTAGTTGCTCCTCAGCCCCGGGCCCTCCCCAAGCTCCTGAGGGGGCACAGGAACGGGGGAGGGCAGGGGGGGAGAATGTAGGGGCTCAGAGATTGTGTTGCAGTGATTTCTTTTTTTGTGTGTAAGGGTGAGTTATAAATCATGATCGTTTCAGTTCATTTTCACCCGGTGTTCAAAGTGAGTGACTTGTAAAGGATTGTTATACCTTTAAAGAAGAATAAAAACAATAACAATATTAATTGTCTGCGCCAGGACTCCATCCGGCGGGAGACAGTTACAGGGGGGCTGGCGCCGCGCCCGCTCTCCCTGCCCAGGCCGCGCCGACCCGCGTGCAGCGAAGCGCTGTCTTTGTCTCCGCCCGGCGGCTGCTCGGCCTCCCCCGAACCAACCAGAAGGGCCCCCCGCTGGGTGGTCGCTGGGAGAGCCTGCCGACCGCCTTTCCCGGCTACCGTAGAGCTGGGGGCCCCAAATTCCCAGGGGGAGTCCTCCAGGGGCGGTGGCCTGCGGATCGGGCCGTTTACCTTGTCAGGGACAAAGCGCTCTTGGAGGCAGTGAGACAGCGGCCTCTGGTCTGAGCGATGGGCGCGGAGCACCCTGTTCTCCCCGCAAAGGCGAGTCCGGTTCACTGCGCCTCAGACCCGGACCCCCCCCTCCCCCCGCGGCTCGCCTGGGGGTTCAGCCTCCCCGTGGCGCGGGGCTCTGCTCGCGCGCCTTAAGCTGGAGGAGGGAGAACTGGAACGCAGCTCTGGGTGCCCCCCAATCCCCCACTCCCTACCCCCCACCCCCACCCCCGTCACAGCAGAGGCTGAGCGAGAGGGCGCCCCAGTCCGCGGCTCCCCACCTCGAGGTCTCCCCTCCAGCGCAGACTGAGCCTCTTTGTCTCCCGGTCTCGCTGGCCCTTCTCTGGCCGCCTGGCCTCCCCCCTTCTTCCCAAGGCCAGAGATGCGCCCCCTCCTCCCCTCGCCCTCTTCCCTCTCCCCATAAAGCTTTTAGCGGAGTGGGGTGAGGGCCTGAAGCTTCAAGTTCAATGGCAATGTCCCTGACCCTCCCCTCCCGCTGGGCGCCGGCTAGACGCCGCCTTCTCCTCCCCGTCCTTCTGGGGACGGTTGAACTCTTGCTGCCCCTTCTCCCTCTCTCATGGGGGGGGGGGCAACTGAGGGGAGGGGGCAGCGGTGGAACTCGTTTTTTCTCCCTTTGCTCCGACCACCCCACCCTCTTTCTACGCAGAAACAGCTAGCAGCTGAGAGAGGAGAGGCTGGCAGCCCCTGCGGATGTTTCAAAACCTCCAGGCCCTGGCGGGGAGGGGGGGGTCCCCGGGATGAGAGGCTGGGGGCGCTCTGGGGCCTTCTCCTCCTTTCCCAGAGAGGGGCTGTCCCGGTGGGTGTGCATTTCTTTCCCCAAGAGGGAACCTCCTTTCGCCCCCTCCGCGGGAGTCGCCTCGCGCTTTATTTCAAGTTGATTAAATAAATTTGAATCATTCATTTCATTCAGGATCGTAACTCTTGGGGCGAGGGTACAAGGAATCCCCCCCCACCCCACCCCGCCACCCACTCAAGAAAACCTAATTAACGAGCAGCCCTCAGGACCTCGAATAAAACTTTAATGAAGGGAGGAGAGGAGGGCCGTTTGCTGCGCCTCGGAGGAGGGGCCGGCGCCGGCCATGGACTGGGCTCCATCCATCAGGGCCTTTGTCCTTCCCGGGACAGCTCTGGCCCTGGGTCCGAGTCTGGTGACCCGTGGGGCGGGGTGGGGGGCGGCGGTGCAGACGGAAACACGGCCGCCTCGGCCTCTCGAGTTCGGCGTTTGCCCGGAGCACCGGATCCCGGCCTGGCGCCCCGGGGCGCTCTCCGCGGGGCCGCGGGCACCGAGAGGCCAAAACCAGCGCTTCCCCAGGAGGCGTCCGCGCACCCGGCCCCTCTCCCCCTAACGGGCCTCCGGGCGCTAAGGGGTCCACCGGGCTCGCAGGTTGGAGCGATCAGGCTCCCGGTGGCGCGGGCCGGTGCCACGTTCGCCGGGCTCAGCCGCCGACTCGGAGGGCGGGGAGGGCGGGGGCAGCGCCGGGGGAATGGCCGCGGGTCGGGGTTTTCGGGAGAGCGCGCGCCTGTGCGTGTGTCTGTCCTTGAGCTGGGGGTCTGAAGTTACCTGTTTGTGAACATTGGGTTTACAGGCTTCCGTCTGTGTAATTTCAGCAGCTCCCTCCCTCTTGTAGCTTGAAAGGACCCCCATTACATTAAGCAAAGCTGCAGGCAAGTGAATATCACCTGGGTGAATTTTGTTGCAATTTAGACACGAATTCGAGATTTTTTAAAAACGGTCTGTCTTGGTGGCGGGCAGTTATAATTCGCCTCCGAAGTAAAGCTGGTGGTGGGTGATTTTTAAAAGAAGGTTTAATACAAAACAACACTTAAAACAATTTCTTTTCTTTTTGCTCAGGGTCCATACAAGGAAATCGCTCGGAAAAACAGTGGGACGAAGACCAGGTCCGAGGGTAGATGGCGCCGCAGCCTTGCTCCCGGAGGTCGGGCCGCCCTTTTCGTTCTCCTTTGGAGATCGCAGCACTGCCCTCCCGGCTGCCCTCCTGGGCCTCTGGGCGTCCGGACAGACACATCCGCCGGTGCCCTGGCCCGATTCCAGGCGACTGTGGTCCTCGCGATCTGCAGGACGCGCAGCCCGGGACTCCGCAGCCCCGAGGCTCCGGCGCCGCTCAGCCGGCCGCTCGGTGGCGGTGACAGCGGAGCGGATCCGCTGGTTTCCCTGGAATGACGAGCTCCCGCCGGAAGGGGGCGCCCTTGTCTTTTGAATCGTCCAAACTCGCACACGCAGCGAAATAAATCTAAAATCTCAACTCTTGTTCAATAGAGGAACCCAGAAATGTCAAGTCCCTGACAGTGAAGTGGAGGAGGTCCAGCGTCTCCTTCAGGCCGCTCTGCCTAGGCGACCCCTCTTGTGGCCTTTCCCCTCTGCACGTGGGGACCCCGCAGCATGGCGCCCTGGTCCTGTGTCCCCCACCCTCTCCACGTGCCTGTCTGCGCTGAAGAGCAGCAAGAGGGTGGTTTGCACACACTCTCCTGGAGAAACGGATACTAAAAGCTGCTTGCTTGGGCTTTGCTTGGAGGGGAGCAAGAGAGGCAGAAAGCAACCTCCTCTGAGCCATGGTGTTACTTAGGGAGGAGCTTAAATTAGGCCTCAGGGCTTGGGTGGGTTTTTTTTTTTTTTTCTTATCACAAAATTGGCACACACCGCCCCCCAGTACGCACCCTCTAAGAGACCCAGGAAGGGAGGGTGACCGCCCAGCTCAGGGGCCCTTTCCTTAGCCCTGGTTGCTTTTTGGTAAACAGATTTAGAGAATCCCAGTCATTCCCTGGAGAGGAGCCAGGACTGAAGGGTGGAAATACCTGGATTCCTCGGCTGCAGCCTGCAGCCCTCATCCTGAGGTTTCCGGGAGAGCTACAAGCTGGCTCTGAGAGGGAACTACCAAGATGGTGGCCGCGGCCCGCCACTGGCTGCTCTGGCGTTTCTGGGTGGCTTGGAAGCGGGTCCCACGGGTCCTCTTCGCTTCACTCCTGCGCGCTGGATTGTGGGAGCATCTACCTAGACCCCCCCAGCCCAGGCTGCAGGAAGGTCCAGCATGAACCTGCAGGCTTTGCCGCAGCGAGATAACAAGTTCCACCAGGCCCTGTGCCTCGGTACAGGACATCGGGGAGCTGGCACAGAGGCGGACAGTTTCTGGCTCCCCGAACAACCGGCCTGCCCTAGGTTTCTCTCTGCATGGCCCAGGGAAAACAGAGTTGGTGCCAACCCTTATCCACCCACCCGGGGCTCAGGAAACGGGCTGAAAAGTGAAAAGAAAAGAAAGTCTGTGCCCACTGTCGCCAAGGCTGCATGATGTCCCATGAGCCTGGATCTTTGGGCTTCTGTCACCTTGCTAGCCTCAGTTCCTGCACCCACAAAAGAGCCCTAGTGCATCTCCCAGCTGGCCAGCTCCTCTGGGCGGCATGAGGGGGCAAGCAGGGGAGAAAGGGGCCATTTCCTGGGTTCTCTCCTGGCCAGCTCTACTAGCATGCTTGGGACATACTTGCCAGTGGGATTCCACCTTTGTGCCTGGAAAAGGCCGTGTTAGGCCGCAGGTATCTGTTTCACACGGCTCCCAAGGGCCCAATGACCCATGACCTGCTTCGGTCAGAACCAGCAGGAACCTTAGGGGAGGACTAGGAAAGTTTGGGGGCAGAAGTGAGAAATGGTGAGTTATCCAGGCACTTCCCCATACTCCATTTCTCTGGAAGAAGACAGACCAGGGAGGACAGCCTGCTGGCTTCCTTTTCACACAAGGACCCAGTAAGTGCAACCTGTGGGGTGGGCAGGGCGGGAGAGAGAGGCGCCCTCCAGCATTGTCCATCCTGCTGTCATCTTAGAAAGATGCTCAGTGCAGTAGCCATGGGGCGGCCCTGCCTTATCCCCTCGCCCCTGCCCCTGCCGGCACTGGGATGAGGGGCGGGCTTTGGAAACAGAAGAGGGTTCACAGGAAGCTTCCCGGCCACCATCTCCTTCCAAGTTTATTCGTGATCAGTGATCAGTTCATTCCATGAAAGCAGTTTCTGTACGCTCGCTCGCAGAGCTCCAGTAGAAAGAAGGAGACTAATTACCATGGCAACTAGAACTGGTTACGGTGGTGATCACCACGGCCAGGGTGAATGCCAATGCCTGGGACAGGTCCTCTGGCAGATGAGGCGTTCACTTGGGCCTCCATGGCTCACAGGGACAGAGGGGGCACTCAGGTTGTCCCTGGAGAACAGCACAGGAGCCACGGCCTGGAAAAAGTGTCTCCTCTGGGGATCCCTCAACAGAGTCCTGGGTCCCAGCCTGTCCCTCGCAGGGTCCTGGTCTCCCCAGGATGCCGCCCACCTTCCCCCACCACCTCCCTAGCCAGGGAGCGCCCTCACTGAGTTGTGTTGGTCTTGACCTTGGCAAGGACCTTCTTCTCCTTGACCCTGCGGTTCTGAAACCATATGGTGATCTGGCGCTCCGAGAGGCTGGTGGCCACCGAGACCTTGCGCCTCTTGTCCTTGGTGATGAACTTGTTGGCCGAATACTCGCGCTCCAGCTCCCGCAGCTGCCCCTTGCTGTAGGGGATGCGCTTCTTGCGGCCGCGGGGGAAGGTGCAGCCTTCTGGGGGGTGCTGAGCGCTGGAGTCTGCCAGGTGGGAGAGGGAGGAAGGGAAAGACACTGTTCGGATCCCCTGCAGGCACAGTCCCACGTGCACCCCCGTGCCCCCAAAGCACCCAGGATGGGCTTCTGGCTGGTTCTCTGATCACCTCTCAGCCTTGGAAAGAGCAGTCTCCCATAGGCCACCCTCACCATCCCTGCCCTCACACCCGCCAGTCTGCAAATACACCTCCTACGGACAGCCAGACCTTAGCCCACAGTCACACACATCCACCCTCACGAGTTCGAGGATCTTGGCCACCCTTATAGATTCTACGGGCAAATTCTGTACAGAAGGAAACACATTCCTGCTCCCACTCCCAACACAAAACACACACACACACACACACACACACACACACACACCAATGCACATACCTAAGTTATGACTGAGGGAAATCTAAATCTTCCTTTGGAAACTGAAAAACTCATCGAAGAGAAAGGGAGAGATTGTATTCTGACAGAATTTCCAATAACTGTTCCAACCCCTTTCTACCACCACCACCCTCACTGAACTGAGCGTTACTGAGCCTTTTTGTGGAATTAAACTGGGATCTGCTGGTAGGGACCCCCGAAGCCCCATCCAAGGGCAAAGACAGCCAGCTCCTGGGACTTACGGAGAGGCCGGTGGGAAGGCCTCGGGGTTCAGTGAAGGGACTTGGGGGCCTCTGGCTGCAGATGGTCCCCAGCTCCTGCCACACACTGACCTGGGGGGACCTTCTCCCAGGCTCTGGGACTCCCTGGACCTCCTTAGACTCCCAATAGTCCGAGAGGCTCACCCAACGCCTCCTCCCCAGCCCCAGGCCTCCCTCTTCCTCCCAGCCAAGTGCCCGCGGGGTCTGCAACCTGGCGCCTGGCGCCCAGGGACCCGGAGGAGTGAGTGAGGTTACCTGCAAAGGCCGTCTTCCAGAAGGCCCCCGGCGGCGGGTTCTGGTCCCCCTGGCAGCACACCTGGCTGTTCCAGCCGCCGGGCAGGGCCCAGGGCTGGTAGCTGTCCACGGGCAGCAGGGCGTCGTGGCGCGGCTCCCCGGGCGCGCCCAGCGTCTGCACCACGGACACGTCCAGGTAGCCGGCCATGGGCTGGTAGGGGGCCGGGTAGCCGGGGTAGAAGGCGAACTCGGCGGCGTGGCGGCCGGGGAAGTCCTCGGCGGCCGCGGGGGGCTCGGCGGGGTAGGCGGCCAGCGCGGCGGCCTGGGCGCAGGGCTTCAGGGAGCCGCGCGCCAGGCGGCAGGGGTAGTACCCGCCTCCGAAGTAGCCGTAGGGCACGGGCGCCGGGGACGCGCCCTGGGCCGCCCCGGGGCACGGGTGGCACTGCTTCGGGGGCTCCGAAGAGCCCGGCAGGTCCAGGGGCGCATAGTTGGCAGCTGGCATCAGCGCGGGCGCCGCCGGGTGGCTGGCCAGCGGGGAGTGGGCGAGCAGGTTCCGGCTGCCTCCCGCCCCCAGCAAGCCCTCCAGGTCCTTGGCGCCGTCCACGCTGGCATAGCTGCCCGGCTCCATGGGGCCGGGGGTGGGCGCATGGAGCGCTGAGAGCGGGGGAGGCAGGGGCACCCGGCTAGCGCTCCCGGGCGGCCCGGGAACCCAAAGCCTTTAAATCGGTCCCAGCGCCCCGGCGCCGGCGCCGCCCCCCCCCCCCCCCCCCCCGGCCGCCCTGACGCAGGGACGCAGGTGCCCGGGCCCCCGCGCTGATTGGCCGCCGGCGGGGGAGAAGCTAATAAAGTCTTCGTGGCAGAAATTGCGAAAATGCTTTAACTCCCCCCTTTCCCTCTCCTCTCCTCTCCTCTCCCTGTGTGTTCTCTCCCTCCCTCCCTCCCTCCCTCCCTCCTCTCTCTCTCTCTCTCTCCCCCTTCTCTCTCTCTCTCTCTCTCTCTCTCTCTCTCTCTCTCTCTCTCTCTCTCTCTCTCTCTCTCTCTCTCTCTCTCTCTCTCTCTTTTCCTGGGGGGAGGGGAGGAGTGGAGACTTAGGAAGAGCGGACAAGGCGCTCCCCCTCCTCCGCGGCTCCTCTCCCTCCCTGGCTCCGTCCCCTGCGCGTTGGCCGGTTTAACGAGAGAACGAAGCTCTCCCCATAAAGTGTCTCCCTCGTGGGGGGAGGGGAGTCGGGGGTGGAGTCGGGAGGCCGCTGGGCCTGCAAGGGGAGCCTGGGAGTGCGGGCGCCTGGGCCAGCGGAAGCCAGCCGCTGGGAATGGAAGGGTATTCCTGGGGGCCCTTTCCTTCGCGTCCTGGGTGCCAGCATCCCGGTTCACCCCAAGGCCCCTCCCATCCAGGATGCACTATAAGCGGCTCCTGGTCCCGGGAAGTGCCTGGGACGCCCCTTCCCCAGAGACCCCAGCTACCCTACCCTACCGCTAAGGGATTGGGCTGGAGCAGAGAAAGAGGAAGGACAGAGCTCCAGATACAGCGATGAGAGGTCTGGAGCCTGGGACACAAAAGGGTTAGACCTAAAGGGGAAATGGGGCTTCTAGACCTGGCCCGTGAGAGGGGCTCTGGGTTTCCGGTTAAGGATGGAGAAAGAGGTAAGGAGAGAAGACGCACAGGACGTGTATTCAGAGAGAAGGGTAGAGGCAGAGGCCGGAAGAGGAGACCCAGGGACAGCAGCAGGAAGAGGGAAAGGAAAAGTTGAGGAAGGGGATGGAGAGGACCGTATAAAATCCTGGAATACCAGTGGGGAAAAGATCATTCCTTCCCCCTTCTCTGAGAACTAAGGGGTTCCCAGGAAGCCCGGCCTGGCTACCTAACTGCCAGGAACTAGTTGTGGGGTTCTGGAGCCCAAGAGCCCGGGAGCCTGGCCTGTGTGCCCACGCCTGTCTGCCTGCCTGTCTGCCTGCCGTCCTCCTCCCGGCCTCGGGCACACGTCCACCCAGAGAGGCCAGAAAGCCCGGCACCTGTGTACTCCCTAGCAGGGGTCCTCAAACTTTTTAAAGTGGGGGCCAGATCACGGTCCCTCAGAGAGCTGGAGGGCCGGACTATATGAACTACTAATTCCTACTGTAACACCTCGGCTGCGCTGGCTGCCCAAAAAACCTGGCGGGCCGGATCAGACTCCTCTGCGGGCCGCATGTGGCCCGCGGGCCCGTAGTTTGAAGACGCCTGCCCTACAGGCTCTGCGTTTTCTTAGACGGAGGAGAGGGGATGAGGGAGGGGGGAGGGGGCCCCAACCACTGGAGAAGTTGCTGGAAGCCTCTCTGATGGGGCCTACTGTGCGGTGCAATTCAAGAAAACTAAACCGGCTTTGTTTCACAAATCTGGGGCTTTGTATTTCTTCACTACCCCGCCCAAATCCAATCTGTCCAAGCCCACTTTTTCTAGAAGCCCCCGTTTTTTTTCTGGAGAAGACAGGAATGATTCCATTTTGCATAGGGGTCAGGGCAATTATTTGGAACATACCACCCTGAGCTCTAGGTGGTTACATTCATGCCCACTCACCAACTTGAACCTGAACTTGAGCCATCTTTCCAGACTGGGCCCATGCAAACTGGAGTTGCAGGACTATAGGGGAAATTGTAGATCACCTATAACAAATATTGCTGCGCTGGCCAAGTAGCTCCATTGGTTAGAGTATCATCCTGATATGCCAAGATTGTGGGTTTGATCCCTGGTTAGGGAACATGCAAGAAGCAATCAATGAATGTATAAACAACAAACGGGACAACAAATATATATATTATTGTATTTGAAAAGCACATGAGAGGAAATGGAGGTGTCTGTAGGTACAACAGGTCTAGCGTCTTGTGCTGTAGCATCTCTGTCTGGAAACATCTTTGCTGCAAATATTTTTGCTGCAAACATGTTCACCATGTAACTCATTGGCCGTAAAGCAAATTTGCCGTTAAAAAAAACATAAAATCACAAGAAATAAAAGAGGGTTGTTAAAAAAAACACACACAGACTTAACAAAATTAAAAAGGCTTTATTAAAAAATACAGAACACTAGCATTTATTTCAAATGTGTGTAGATCCATGGCAATCCTGTGCAAATAGCGGGTTTTATTTTGTGGATTGTATCGAAGCAGTTGTCTTCATTGTATGGGTTGGACTTGGTGCCCTCAGAGAGCCCTCAGGCTCTTTTCTCCTCCCAATGGACGGGTCTGCCTCAGAGATATTTGGATTTGGTTCCAAACCACTGCAATAAAAAGAGGGTCACAAAAATGAGTCATATGAATTTTGGGGTTTCTTGTACATATAAGCCATGTTACATGACTATAGTCTAATAAGTGTGCAATAGCATTATGTCTAAAAAAAAGTACAGAGCTTAATTAAAAATTCTGTACTGCTAAAAACAAAAAAATACTGACCATCACCTGAGCCTTCAGCGAGTTTACATAGTCTTTGCTGGTGGAGAGTCTTATCTTCAGGCTGTAAAACACACAGTATCTGTGAAAGGCAATAGAACAAAGAGCAATAAGATGCCTGTAGTGTGTTTCAAAACCAGAAACCAACGCTTGGGGCAAATTATTGTCCTCTGGAAGAAATAAATGCTTACTATTTTAAGGCCACCATCATAGCTACTCACTGCATGGACCTTTATGTGGGCTAGCTAAGCTTTATATATAATATAAAAATGGAAGTAACTGGGAGAACTTTGTCAATACCGAAATGAAACCAACATAACAACTAGCTTAAGTACATTGTCTTCAACGCAGTTAATTGGTTTGTCAATGGAGAAATAAAACCAAGCAAAAAAAAAAAATTCAAACTGTCAACCAGTTATTTTATCTTTTTTTTTTTACAGCAAAATTGCTTTATGGTAAATTACTTATGTGGTGAAATGTTTATGGCAAAAATGCTTTGAGCAAGGATGCCGAAGGCAAAGATGCATATGGTGAAAATACATGAGCACACTCACGCTTCCCAGTTTCTTATCAGAGCTTCTAGCTCCTCTCACTATGAAAGACAGAAATATCGGGATTTTTACCTAAAGACAAATTTTTTCCCCACTGCTTTTTACTTGGCAAATGACAGTACAAGCATGAATAAGTCCCTAAATTAAAAAGTAAATAAATAATCATAGTTATTCCTGGACGTATACCCAACAGAAAATGTCCCTGTCCATCAAACGCCATGTAGTGGAATGTCCAAAACAGCTTTATTCATGATAGCTCAAAAATAGAAACAAGACTGAATGTCCGTCAGTAATGAATGGGTAATAGATTGTGCTATAATTAAAAATTAGAGTACTACACAGCAATAAAAAACTACTGCTACACACAAAGTGAATAATCCCATAGATATGTGGGTGAAAGGAGCCAGACACAAAAGGTTAGCTTTTGTCTGACTCTGTGCAGTTCAGGAACAGGCAGCATTAGGGTAGAAGAGATGACGCTGGAGAGAGGGGCTCCTGAGAGGGAGGTGCCCTAAGGAAGCTTTCGGGTGCTGCACAATCCTTGCATGGGGTGTTCACTTTGTGGACATTCAGGCTGTACCCTGGATATTTCTGCACCGGTCCAAGTGGGAGAATGAAGTCACTGGGTCGAGACCGCCCCCCCCAGACCCTCAGGTTGGTGGTGATCAAGAATGAGAATTTATTTGCAGTGGCTCCGCTGCTTTTTCTGGGAAAGTCAGGGCTCCGATGTCTATCAGTTTTATGTCTGTTTTGTAAGTACAAAAACTTAAAGATGCATAACCACATGGCTCACCGCTGTGCTTTTTGGGTGCGTGGCTTATTCATGTCTATGGAAATGAGCAGCGAGGCTCACATAGCTCTCAAACAGACGCATTTCCATACAAATAAAAATGAGGGGGTTGGCTGGTTTTGGTTTTGTTTTGCTCTGCAATTTATTTAGCAACTAGTAGGTCCCAGGGAACAGTTCTGAATGTCATGTTTATTAACATAGGAGCATGTGCTCCCATTTCGAGGAATGCATACGTACAGCCAACTGTCCGTGACGGATCATAGACCTCAACCTGAGTCAGATAAAGCAGGATGCAGTCTCATCTGTAAAAAGTATCTATCGCTCTCCTCCTGGGCACAATAATCCCTACCTCACAGGAACGCTGGGCAGATTAAATTAAGATTTCGCACACGAAAGCATTTTATAAATTAAATAAGTATGAGTTCTGTCTGTGTTTCTGCATGTGTATCTGTTTCTAATGAACTACAAGACTCCTGGTTTTATTTTTAAATTAAAGGTCAGTTGTCTCCAAAAATATGGGTCATTTTGTATTTGCCTCTCCCGGCCCTGAATCAGCCTGAGGTTCCCACATAAAGAAACTGAGGTTCAGACACGCCCCCCTCGCCCCCAAACCTCCCTAGGGCTCTAGGGGAGGTTAAGGCTGAGGTCTCGGGATAACCCAGGCGTCAGACGCCCAGCCAGCCCTTCCCCCGGCCCCACAGAGTCCTTTGTGTCCTGCTGGGAGCCTCCAGGCAGACCTTCTCAGACCCTGGGCCTCCCCCTCCCCAGCCCCCTTTACCGACCCCACCAAACGCGCTGAAAGCCTCCTCTGCTCCTTTACATACCGGCCAGACACCTCCGGGAAGGTCAAGGCCAAGTTGAAAGTTAAGAGCCTGTTTATCACCGGGAGCCCATTCAGCGCGGCCCCACAGACCGCCTGTGACCTTTACTGCCGGGCCTTTGAGCGCGGCCGCCGCCCC